CAATATATAGCTGCCCAAGGATTTGGTACAAAAACAGTAAAACCAGGGCGGTAAAAACGATTTGCGCGGTAAGGAAAACGGAGAATACAGATGTCTTGTAAAACTGAAATGGGGTACAGTTCCAGCAGTCCAAAAAGGGCGGTCCATTTGAATTGTTAACCGGTAAGGCAGTCGTTTAAGATTGGAGGCAATTTTAAATATGTATAAAGTTGCAACACCGCCGGCCAAAATTCCTCCGACGGTCAGTAAGCGAACAGTTAAGTTATCAGGAGAGCTCTAGCCCACAAGCATGCAACGTCAGCCACCGACCTGAATGGTCCGGGTCCACTCCTACCACAAAGGCCGGTTTCGACGTTACATGCGCCTACCCACAATATCACGCTGAACTAAAAACCGGCTGCTCTAATACGTCTATCGGGAAGCAACCCTAGACCTGTGTACCCCCTCGTTAATCCTCCCGTTCCATCGAACATAGGCTCCTATCATCGCGCTTGGTGACACCGGAGCTAGCGTGGAGGGAAACCGTTCTGACGAGGCCGTCTGCATCCGTTTGACATTCGTTGATAATACCCAGCGGCCACCTTCCTCTAGAGAGATGTTCGGACACTGTCATAACGACGTCACCCTCCCTGAGGTTCCTGTTCCGACTTAACCACTTATGGCGTAACTGAAGCGTTGAAATGTATTCTTTCATCCACCTGTTCCAGAAAACTTCCGCCAAATAATTCACTTGTTTCCATCGTCGGGTGGGCCGCGATGGGATACTTGCGTTCGCTTCGTGTAGCAAGAGGTGATTCGGAGTCAGTGCCAATGCGTCACGGCTTTCTGCACTCGAAGATGTCAAAGGCCGATCGTTTAGAATACGTTCCACCTCAACAACAGACAGTCATCAGATAGAGTTTGCTCTTGGATGAGCACAAAAATGGTTTGCCGTATTGATCGTATCATTCGCTCTGATACTCCTCCTTGATGGCTAGCAAGCGGGGGGGCGGGTAAAATGCCACTGAATACCTCGAGCCAATAGTCGGTTGTTGATTTTCGCTTGGTCCCAACCCAGACCGGCCTTACAAAGTTCCTGTAGCAGCTGTTTCGCGGTTAAGCGTACAGGGGATACCAATCCTAGAGAATCGAAGAGCGAGCAAACAGCTGATAGGACTCCTCTTTGCGTTAGTGGTTTCTCGGGAATGTGAAACCGGAAACAAAAGATATCAGAAGATGAATCCCATTCAATGCCCAACGTCCGCTGTGTATTCATCGTCTTTGGAGACATCTCCACTACAGCTTCCATTCGTCCAGACGATGGGAGCCCTTGCAGTGCATCGGGGAAATTGCTCACTCACTTATGAAGTTGAAACCCCCCTTTGAACTGTACATCCGTTATTCCTTGCACAAAACTCTTTGTGTCGGTTACGGAAAGCACTGACACCAAGCAATCGTCTACGTAGAAGTTATCACCGACGATTTGATTCGGTCGTCGTAATCCCCGCCGAAAACAGACACTGTTTGTCTTAGAGCGAAATTGGCACGGAACGGAGAAGAGACGGCACCGAAGACATGAGAGGCCATTTGATATTCAATAGGCTCACTCTGAA